CTATTGGGGAGCCCCATGGAGGTGATAAATGTGTATTAAAAACATCTTTGCCAATGCCTTGGCCATTGGGATCTTTTGGGAGGGTACAAAATGAACCTGTTTTGAAAAAAGATCAGTTTCAACCCAAATAACAGTATTTCCTGCACTTTCAGGGAGCTCCACTATAAAGTCCATAGAGATCTCTTTCCAGGGTGCTGAAGGTTCTGCCACTGTTTGTAAATCCAGGAGATTTTCCTTGTCTTCTTTTTGCAGCAGCACAGATTGGGCAACTAGCAAGATAGTTTTCGATGTCCTTTTTGAGAGATGGCCACCAAAATTGTCTTTTGATGAGGTGCAGGGTTTTTACAAAGCCAAAGTGTCCCGCTATTTTTGAGTCATGAGGTCCATCCGCTGGCTGGCCGGGACGTAAAGTTTGTTTTCTACCCAGGCTAGACCATCTTTGAGTAAGCAAATGTGTTTGTTAACCTGGAGCCAGTCATCCTTAAGTAGTGCCTCCTTAAATATTGAAGTCATTGCACTGTCAGTCAGTGATTCTTTCTTCCCTTGTGCCCAGGTGATTACTTTGGCTGCATTACTTTGGGTTGGTTGAATCATGGGTTTTATAACTTCAATCTTTTTGCTGTTGTATTGGGATTTCTTGGACAGGGCATCTGCCAAGAAATTTTTTTCCCCTGGGAGATATTTGAGAGTGAAATTAAACCATTTAAAGTATTGAGCCCACCTTGCTTGTTTTTCTGAGAGTTTCCATGGAGTTTTCAGGGCTTCTAGATTTTTATGATCAGTCCAGACTTCAAGGGGGATTTGGTTCCCTTCTAGGAAATGTCTGCATGTGAGGAGTGCCCATCACATAGCATATGCCTCTTTCTCCCATATGGCCCATCTTTGCTCGGTTTCTGTCAGTTTCTTGGAAGTATAAGCACATGGTTGTAACTGTCCACATCCATTCTTTTGGAGTAGAACTGCTCCAACTGCTACATTGCTAGTGTCTGCTTGGATGACAAATGGTTGTTTCTGGTCTGGGTGTTTCAGGATTGGTTCTGCTGAGAACAGTTGTTTAAGTTTTTCAAATGCCGCTTGGCATTCCATCATCCAGGTAAGGGTTTTCCTTGGTTTGGGTTTCTCCCCCACTTTCATTTTTAGCAACTTCATGATGATGAGGGCAATATTCACAAAAGCTGGAATGAACTGGCAGTAAAAGTTTGCAAAACCTAGGAAGCTCTGCAGTTGTTTGCAAGTATGGGGCAGTTCCCAATCAATGACAGCTTTTACTTTTTGTGGGTCCATCTCTATTCCCTCATGGGATATTCTATATCCCAGGTAGTCAATTTTTTCTTGATAGAATTCACATTTAGAGAGTTTTGCATATAGTTTGGCGTTTTGGAGTTTTGTGAGAACTGCTCGGAGTAACTCGATGTGTTCTTCTTTTGTTTTGATGTAGATTAAAATATCATTGAGATAAACTAGAACCCCTTTGTACAAAAAATCATGGAGAGTCTCATTAATTAATTGCATAAACATGGCAGGTGCTCCTTGTAGTCTGAAAGGAAGCATGTTAAATTGGTAGCATCCCAGTGGGATGTTAAAAGCCGTCTTCCACTCATCCCCCTCCCTTATTCTGATTTGGTAGTATGCCTCTCGTAGGTCTAACTTTGAAAAAAAAATCCTTTAATGAGGTGGGCTAGCATATCCTTCATGAGGGGGAGTGGGTACATATTCTCCACACTGATGCTACTTAAATCTCGGTAATCAACACATAACCGTAAAGAGCCATCTTTCTTTTTGTGGAATAATACTGGGGCTGCTATTTTGGGTTGGGTAGGTTCGATGAAACCCCTTTTTAGATTTTTATCAATAAATGTTGAGTTCATTTAGTTCTCTGGGGGACATGCAGTACATTTTTGGTTTTGGAAGTTTAGCCCCTGGTAGGATTTCAATGGCACAGTCTGTGGTGTGATAGGGTGGGAGTTCCTCAGAAGCCTCCTCACTAAATACTTGGGCTAAATCCTGGTTCTCTTTGGGGATGTGAATGGGTTCAGCCAGCTGGCCAGCCATGGCTGGTTCTCTGTTATCTATTCTCTTTCTTTTTCTTTCTTCTGGGCTGTTTGCAATTGCTACATGTTTCTGGAAATGTATGATTCCTCTCTTCCAATTTATTTTTGGATTCCATTTCCATAGCCATAGTCCTAGGACCAGTGGCCCTTCCATTCCTGGTGCTACAATGAATGAGCATCTCACAATGGTTCCCTAGTCTTATTTTCAATGGTTTTATGGCAAAACTGGCTGGCTCCCCCCCCCCCCCCCCCC